GTGAGGTAGGTGGGGCTGAGACAGCTCTGACGGAAAATGCTCTTTTTCAAGATCAGCTCTGACAGAACTATGGCTTGCCCAAGGTCATCCAGCAGGTGCAAGTGGAGGAGTGGGGACTCAAACCCGGTGCTCCCAGATTAGAGTCCGTGCACTTAACTACGACACCAAACTGGCTCTCAGATTGGATTGAGACGAGATTGGATTTATCCTCTTCCCTACAAACTCCTTTCCCTTTCCCTCCCCACAACAGACACCCTGTGAGGTAGGTGGGGCTGAGACAGCTCTGACGGAAACTGCTCTTTTTCAAGAACAGCTCTGACAGAGCTATGGCTTGCCCAAGGTCATCCAGCAGGTGCAAGTGGAGGAGTGGGGACTCAAACCCGGTTCTCCCAGATTAGAGTCCGCGCACTTAACCACGACACCAAACTGGCTTTTTTAAAAAAGAAGAAGAAAGAAAGCTAGTAACTCCGTAGAAAAAAGCAAGAGTCCCTTCCAGAACAATGTTTTTCTGATTGCTGGCTCAGTGTGTTACCCAAAATGGTCTAATATTTAATTGACTGGGGAAAATTAGCTTTGCGAGAGAGGGTAACTTGGGATCATCACCTTTGTATACAGGTGTCCTTCCCGAGAGACTCTCTAATAAGCCAGGCTGATGTTCAAGTATGCGGATCAACGTAGTGGGAGCCAAGTATGCCCTGGGAGTTTGGTGTTCAGAGTTCTTCGGATATCTGGAGAAGTGACTGATGAAAGCTCCTCTCCGGCCACAAATGTTGTGAGTCTCTAAGGTGCCACTGGACTCTAGCTCTTTTCTACTGCTACAGACAAGGGCTAACATGGCTGCCCATCTTGATCTAGTAACTCAGAGAACCTGATACAGGTTGTTGCAATGATTTTAGATTGCTCATTTAAAAAAACCTGTGGGAATGAAAAACTCCTGTGAGGCATGTCCGGGAGTTCAAGTTCTCACAGGGAGATTGGCAAGCAGTGCACAACCCCAACAGGTCTGCTGAGTTTGCTGAGAGTATAAACTTGGCTACAGTCGGGCAAGATCAAGATGAGCTGTGGGTAAAGAACATTCTGTTAAGAACATACCGTGATTCTAGTTAGAGGCTTCTTCTATTTGAAACGTTTTCACTGTACAGGGCGGGTGGGGGGGAGAGAAATGTGTGATCTGCTCTAATAAAACGCTGCTGACAGGCAGTTCAAAGAGACAGTTGGGACAGAGAGAGAACTGAGAGCTTGGTCAGAGAGCTTCGACAGATCTGTGTGTTGTGTCGTTATTATTGTGTAGTGGGTTGCCGCATGGATAGACGACCGAGACTGGCGTAGTGCATAGCACGCTTTATTAAGTACACAACAAGAACACAGAACAACGGCCGGCAGGCCAACTATATACACAACCCGGGGACACACCCCTGGGGCTCATTGGCGGGTTTGAATTTCCCGCCCCGGTCCCATTGGTTCCCCAGTGGAGGGACTAGGATCCTAGTCCCTATTGTTATAGCTGCTTCAAGCTCAGGCGTGTGCGCTGACCTCTGGTGGCGGCCCGCGGACACAACAGTTATTGAACCTTCAAACCTACAAAAAACAAAACTGAAAAGGCTGCGGTGGCATCAGGGTGGGGTGGCTGCGACAGGAGGAGCCGGGCAGGGAAACCTACCACGTGGAAGCCCCATTGTCACTGTGCCAAATCAGCAGCCACAGCAGCAACAGAGAAACGACATGAGCCTGTCCACGTGTGAAAAACACCTATGGGCTACAGCCCCTTCCTCCAAGACGGGACCATCGGCATAGTAACACCCACAGCAGAGATCTAGACACAGTTCTCAGGACCAGCTCACCCTTATGACAAGCGGGCCAGGATACACGAATGCCCGGGACGTGGGGCGCCTCTCTACACCGCCCCTGCAGTGGAGGGCCAGAGCACGAAGGGTCTGCGCAGAGCTTGCTAGCCTCGGGATGCCCTTGAAAGCTCTCCCCGGTTGCTTGGTTTTACTCCGGGACACCAGGAGACAGGGAACCTTCTCTGAATCTGATTTCCTTCTTCCACTGCGACTAATCCTACCAGGAGAAAACCCCTTTTTTCTCGGTGTGTGTGTGTGTGTGGTGTGGTGTGGTGTATTCAATCTGACCCAATGTATGTATGAAACGCAGTGACTGAAACACCATGTGAAGCTTCGTCCTGGGCTAGGATCCAAATCCCTCACTTGTAATTGGTAGCCCAGGAAGAGCCGACCAATCACCAACACCTAGTTCCAGAAGCGGGAACTAATGTGATTGGACCTTATCTCTGCAACCCCATAGGTTGATATTGTATAGTAGGGCGTGGCTACATTAGCCGGGAGAGTTTAAAAGTGGAACAGCTTCTATGCAAAAGCTGTTCTGGCTATCAGATGTTGATCCGTGTTGTTGTGTTCGAGTTGTTGAATAAAGCTAAATCTTTGCTGAATCACTCTCCGACTATTCTGTTAAGTGGGCGACTTTAACAGGGGGAAACGCAGGTCTGGATCCCTCCCTGCCTGGCCCAGCCGTGCTGTGCTTTAAATCTTACATGCACACAGACGCTGCACAGGGACTGGCCCCACCGCTGCCACCATAATTTCTAAGCACCCTCCCCCAAGCGAAATCCCTTCCCCTTACCAGGCTGTTGTGCACCGCCAGCTCCTCCTTCAGATAGAGGACCTCTTTTTCGACATTTTTCAGCAGGCGCTGAGGAAACGAGGACAAAGGCATGTCAGTGTTTGCTGTGAAGTAACGACAAATGCCCCCCCCCCGAAAAGAACCTGGTCACTGAGGGCCTTCTCACCTGTAAGCCCTGCCCCCCTAACACACCTCTTAATTCCCACCCCAGTAAGAAAATCCTGAGTGCTTCAGGGCCTGCCCACCCCGTTGTTCTAAGCGACCACAGAGTCCACATTCTAAGTT